CCCCAAAACCCCAAAACCCCAACACCACAAACATGTAATCAAATGTGTAAATATGAAAAAAATATTTCATCAAATTTAAATGAAAAAAGTTAATAGGAAAATTAAAATTGATTATCTGGAAGTGGTGGATTTTACTTATCTTTAATTATTTAATCTCAAATCAATTGCTTTAGTAAAATCATTTATCAAAAAGATAGATTTCGGACATAAGATGAGCATACTTTACAAATTCAGGAAATTTATAAGATAATTTGACTGCACTGGAGCCCCCATTGCATTGAACTATAATAATTCCAATACATTCAAGACTACACTTGGCGGTTCAATATCAGTGATTAGTTGAATAGCGATTCTTATCTATTTCCTTTCACTTGCTAAGCAAATTTATGAGAGAGAAAAACTAGTAACCTACAAGCAAGTGCATAAGACTGCCAATAGAGACGACCAGACAAGTCATCTGACAATTGACAACTTTGATTTTGCTCTAGGAATTATTTTCTTCGATGGACAGAGTCATTTGTGGGAGAAGTAAAACCTTAACAGATATTTCAAGATAGATGTGACATTCTACGAATATGGATTTGTATTAAATCAAGATGGACAATGAGTACCTACTTGAGCATTTTAAGGGATCAACTTAACATAATGTGAGTTAGGAAGATTTAAGGATAGTTAAGAGGATATGACTTCTCTTGGAATCAACTAAAATGGATGGTTTTGTCTTAGTAACATTGACTTTGTTTTGAAAGGATAGTTTTCAAGTACTGTTCGATCAAATATAAGATTCCGTATCAGACCCTGTGAAAATAAAACCAATGTAGATCTTAATAATCTCCCCCCAAGTGAAATTTGTATGAGTCCCCAACAAATATCTGACCTTCAACAAATTTCGACCTTTAACTTTGCTTATCTTCAATCTTATTTTGACCAGGATGAGTTCAATGGGTCACCAGTCAAACATGAAATAAATATGGCATACTTAAACATGAAAAATGATCAATCTTACGGACTACTTCTTGAAACCACAAAGAATCATGTTACCACTTATGATAATTGGCTTTCGAATTATTTGACCTCTAGTAGCTATGAATTTTATTCATTGAAACCTGGTATGAGTCTTGTTGGAGTTGTGAAACCAAACATTAATGATTAGTTGACTGTCTATCTTACACATAGTGATCAAGAGATCTTTATTGAAAGGAAAATGATTACTATCTTAGATATTTTTTCAGTATCTGGTGGATTTGCCAACACTGTTCTTTTGTTGAGTAGAATCTGTGCATTATTTTACTCTGTTTAATTATTCAAATAAATGCTAATATCAAGGTTATGCTGGATCCGTCAATAATCTCAGATAGATATTTTCCATGATGATTTAGAATATGATTACAGAGAGCTAATTAAAAATGAAAAGTAAAAAAGTAGTGGATAATTAAATATTAAAGATAAAAACAGTCCCTCTTTAGGAGATTAGAACAGTCTTGATGAAATATGATAAGGTTTTATTAATTCAGTAATTAAGAAATTAAGTAGCATTGAGAGAATTTCGAAGAGTTTGATTTGTTTTAAACTTAAGAAAAAATGGCTGTACATTTGCAAGAGTAGATGTAATAAGTAAAAATACAGTAAAAATTCACTTAAAGTGAGTAGTTTAGCACTTTCTATTGTAAACAAGAAGACAAACATAGTAAAGGTTATAGAAAATATATAATACTTAAAAATGTGCACAAAGATATTACTATAATAGCATTAAAGAAAGATATTAAAGTAGCATTCAAAAGCTATCATTGAATAACAATCCCAGTCTAATTTCTAAAATTAAAGTTTAAAAAAACTAAATACCTTTTAGCTCTCAAATGACTAGTTATCATCACATTTATAAAAGCTTCTAAGATCAAATAAAATTGTCGATAAAAGAATAATCACTTAAATCGTAAATGGTAATAAAAACTCTAATCAAAACTTATCCCTTGACGAAAATTAAACTCAAGACAGAGATTAAGTTTCTTCACCTACATATATTCCAAAATAAAAAAGACAGATTAAGGTCAAACAAAAGAACTCAACAATGCAGGCTAATTCTCTAATGAAACTAAGTGATTTTTAAATTTTTGAATAGTAATTATACGTTTTAACTTGTTTAAAATTTCTATAGGCAAGAAATGATGAGTTTCAAAAAAATAAAGCAGTCCTCAGACAATGTTAGGAAACCTATTCCTAGAAGAATTTTAGATGATAAAATCCAATCTACTTAGATAGGATAATTAGATTAAACTTTCTAAGCAAGTCCATCAATTAAAAAAAGTAAAAGTGGTAAAAAGAAATTGCCAAAGTTATTATAATCTAATAAAACCTATTCAAAAGTATTCTAAGGATCTTCAACAAATGTAATTAAAACTAATTAAGATTTTTAGGTATATGGCCCATCAAATCATACTATCAAAATGTTAGAAACTTCTTATTATGAATGATAATGAA